CGCGCAGGCTGTCTATAACTCGCACGTTTTATGTCGAAGCCTGCCGTTTCACATTGGGAGGCTGCCAAGTCCGTCTTGCGGTACGTTAAGAGCACATTAGCGTATGGTATTGTTTTTTTGCGGTTCGCAGTCTTTGGTGGGGTATGCGGATTCTGACTGGGCCAGTGATCCAGATAGTCGGCGATCCACCACCGGCTATGTCTTTATTCTGAATGGGGGCGCCATAAGTTGGAAGAGCAGGCTACAACCTACTGTCGCTGCATCGTCGGTTGAAGCCGAGTACATGGCTGCTGCGTCAGCAACGCGGGAGGCAGTTTGGTTGCGTAAGTTGATGAGGGATTTGGGCTACGAGGTACGGGCCGTTGAGATCAAGGACGATAGTCAAGGTGCTATAGCCCTGATCCGCAACCCCATCACGTCAGAGCGGTCAAAGCACATAGACGTGATCCACCACTTTGTTCGAGAAAAGGAGAGTTCGGGTAGTGTATCGTTCCAGTATTGCCCTTCTCACGATATGGTTGCAGATGTGCTGACGAAGCCGTTGGCTTTGGTCAAGTTTTCGAAATTCCGAGAGTGCATGGGAGTTCGTTGAGTTTTCTTCTGGGGTGTGCCAGAGTTCTGTCCGCGGGGGAGTGTTGATATCTCGTCCAGAACTCCTGCATATCGTAGTTTGGCGGGATACCTGTACTGGTTCTGGAGCGGATTTCCGAGATACACTTTGTATTTATGGCAGGGTCTTGCCTTTTATCCTCGCTCTAATCCCAGACCTATGTAACGTATAACGAGGTGATCGCTCTGTATTCGCTGCTTAGTTTTCAGACTGCATTACAGGATTTAAGACTTTGAGACATCCAATTAACTTACCAGGTAAGCCCATCGAGAAGGCATACCTCAAGCGCTCTTTTCTTTTGTGCCGCAAGAAATGATTCGGGTGCTTTAGGTAGCACTCCCGACATTTGATAGGTAAGAATGGAAAATCTGTTAGCCTTGTCTGAATGTCCGAGTTAACTTCACACTATAGTGGCATAGGTTCGCATGCAGCATTCGCTTTAATTTCGAATCAAAACTCCCAACTCGAAAGTATTACTGGCATGCATCCTGTGGAAAAACCGGAGCGCCGTACGCTTGGTACACATCGGACGCGGCGTGGCTCGGCGTGCCACTAACATGGGTGCTGCGGGTGTTATCACCCTGAAGTTTAACCTAACTCGTCCTGCAGTTGTGTAGTGGCAAAACTCCAAGGCACGGGCCAAACGTGGGAAGATAAAAATAGCGAGGCGAGTGCCGTACGTAATCACAAAATCCAAAACGCGTCCTGTACCTGCACGTCGATGCTTTCGTTTTCAGCGGGATATCCGATGCCGACCCAGGTCACTTTTAGCGGCTGAAATATCCTCATTACACTTTGTGTGAAAGGAGCAAGCTGCGGAGCATGGTAGACCACGCCCTTCGGAACTGGTAATGCAGCAGTCAAGACCTTATACTTCAGCTTGTCCACGACCTTTGCTGGTGTACCTCTTGCCTTCGATAACAGGCACATGTGCAGTGTGGAGCTTGCGAGAAGTGTGGAGCGCCGCCGGCGTGCCTATGCCCGGGCAACGACCCTGGGAAGGCTGAATTTTCGATCTTTACAACTGTTGTCAAGTCGTAAGAACTGCGAAGCAGCACATTATGGCACCATATAATGTCCAAACTTCCACAAGCCTTGCGGCAATAAGCAAAATATACAAGGCTGCGCGTTCATACCCCATACGTGGAACACATATATGCTCATAGGACAGTCACCCTCGAAACACAAGACAGCTGTACATAAGTCCCCACAGTATGCCGCGAAGTCATGCCGCGCAGCTGCTCTGGCACACTTCCCAGTTTGCCCGCATCCGTGCTTGCAAGCCATGAGCGCACTAAGTTCTTGGCAGCAGGTATCACGACGCGCTGCCAAAGCCCGCAAAAAAATTATTGACGCATGTACCCCTGCCACCGAGAATGCGGGGCTTTAGAAAAGGAAGGGCCAAACCCACATGCTCGATGCAATACCGTAGTAGATTCCAAAGCAACGAGTTTGGCTACGCACGGATGAACAGGCGCCCACCGAGACGCGGTCCAGCTTCTTCAGCGACCCAGCTCTGCGCCCGCCACCTGCCATTTTCCTCCTCTCCCCGCCTACCCTCTCTTTTCAATCTGCCTTAACGGCCTTGAAGATGCTGTACACAAACCAAAGGCTCGCACCGAAGCCCAAAGCGCCCATGGCGTAGTAGAATGCCAGGACAAAGAGCGTCATGTAGCAAAGGTAGATGAAGATAGGAATGAAACCGGCCAAGCTCGACATAGACGACATGAGGAAGCCGAGCGCGTAAAGCCCAATGTAAAGCGACACGCTGGCGCCACGGTAGAAGGACCGCCACCTGCAAAAAGTGTGGATCGACTCGAGGTGAGATGCACCGCAGAGGTAACACTAAGGTTACAGGTCCTTTAAACACAAGGGTTCACCTTGCGCTATGCTTAATCACCATAAGCCCTACGTTCACCCATAATCACGACACATCGTTCTCCCGGTAAGGCTTACCACCATGCGTAGTCCTCGGCACAGAGCTGCACATACGTGCACAGCACCGCAATCTCCGTGTTGATGACGCACGTGAGTGCCCCAATAAGCAGCACAAAGCCAAACAGGTAGTAAAAGTACCCCAGCCACAATGACGTCATGGCAAAGTACAGCTCGATAAACATGGTGCCGAAAGGCAGCACACCAGCGGCCAGAAATAGCAGCACGGGGTTGGCTGAAAGCGGTGCTGGAGGGATGTGGCGCGGAATCTGGTTGGTTTTTACGGGCCAGTCCAGCAGCGGCACGCGCACAGCGATCATGCCACCTAGGAAGGTGAGCGGTGTGGCCACCAGGAACCAGGCGCATCCCAAGGAGAAGTACATGCCCAGCGGCACGGCACCCGTGGAGCCAGTGTGCACAATCACCAGATTGAGCACCGTGAAGACAAGGAGGTTGATGCCGGGGTAGTACACCGCCACACGTGCACACACCGCCTGCAAACACCGGGGACGAAGGGGCGGGATGTCAAGAAAGGCCGGTCCGAGAATATTAATGGGTCATGCGGGTTGATACGAATGGCGGCGAATGAAGGCAACAAGGGCTGCCTGCACGCTGCATATTAACCCTCCAGGTCCCAGTAAGCCTGGTTTCTTCTCTGTCGAAGGCAACATGGCCCGACAGGGCTGGAAAGACGTTACAGCTGCTGCTTCACAACAACCGGTGCAGTGAGACCTTCGGGACAGGCCGCATCGACCACGCAACTGGCCGTTGGATCCTAGCTGTGGACAATAAACTCTTCATTGCCAAACGCCCTACCTGCCAGCTGGTGAAGGAGCGTTCCATGAGGCCCCATACATACACCGCCACGAAGCCTGCCACGCCCGCCAACAGCACAAAGAACAGCATACCGGCCGTCAGGAGCGCACCGCGGGCCGCTGGAGACAAGAAGCCCAGCGCAGCCAGCACTAGCGTCACGAGCGACGTGGCCAGGATCTGGACGCCAGTGCCCACCTACGGAAAAGGGGTTGATAGTGGTGGTGGCGGCAGGGCTGTTGCGATGCAACGCTGCTCCGCGAGAAGGATGGGCGTACTAACGTGGTGGTGGTAATGCTCATGGTAGGCATGCGGGTAAGTCTCGTAACGTCTGCCCCTACGGCAAACCCGCCATGGCATCAGACAAGCAAATACCTGAATTCCTCCAGAGGTCCGAAACGTAAGCACGTCCACTTTAATCCCCAACATCTGGCTGACCAAGCCCGGTTTCCAAACAGACCAGCACACGCATCGAGCAGGCGACAGCAATACCATAATTAAAGCATGCGTTCCTCAACGCGGCCCCCCCTTTAATAATACGGACCCTTGACCTGGGAAATTGCAAACCGCACCTGCACAGCTAGCATCGCCGAGTTTGCAGGCGCGCGGAAAACGTCGCCCGCCACCAGTTTCCAGCCCGCTTCGTCTCGCGCGTCGCCGGGGCCAGTGCCGTCAACCATCAGCGATTCGTACTTGGCCAAGTCGCGGCGGATAGTGCGCACAAGAATCATAGCCACGATGGTGGCCATCACCAGGACCACCAGTAAACTGTTCACGATGGAGAACCAATGCACCTGCGGAAGATTTAAAAGTTGAGTATACACCACTGATCAGCATCGTTCTAGGGGCTGCGAAGGAGACATCGGTGGCACCGGCCGCCTGGCTGATTTACACCTGGCGAAATTTGGGGCGTCCTCTCTGACCAGGAGATCTAATCCCGGTGCCACGGCGCGCAACAGGCGTGATTGCGCACAAACTCAACACAGATAGGTTAGATGCTAATAACGAGCAACAGGGGGCAACAGACCCTTGCAAACGGCTATCAGTGCTGCCGCAATAAAAACATTTCAAGCCGTAACGGATGGCCTTAAACAAAAGAAGTTAGCCTGTGCGTCGTCATTCGCGGAATGCATGAACCCATACGCTGCATGCACATTGTACGAATAAGTAAATCATTAAAGTTGCGTCTCTGCTGTGATCATGTAGGCGGGGGAAATGGGAGGGAATCGCACCTTGCCACCAGGCATGCGCAGGTAGGCATCCCAGCGTGAGGCCCACTTAATCTTGCTGTCCTGCCAGAACACGTCGTACGTGAACACAATATCCGCACCCTCTCTTATTTCCTGCGTGGGCCAACAGGGCATTGCCCAATGATACATGGGCGCACAGCGACGAGGGAAGGTGTAAGAGACACGCGTAGGACTTGCTTAGCGCATCCTTGGCCATTTCCATGGACCGATGGAACTGCCAGGTGAAAGATTTCACAAAATGTTTGAAAGCCCCACGAAATGTTTGAAGTCTGGTGGCCCTCATATTCATCGCCACCTGTAAAGCGCCCCTTCACTTCTCCTACCTCGCTGGTGAAATACTAGCATGTCCGGGTACAAAGGCCTCTGCAGTCAATCTACCCAGACAAGTCACAGCCCGCAGCTGCTTCCAGTCCCAAAAACGGTCACAAACCTGTGGAGTGATGTGGCTGTCGCCGTCCACGCCACATACAATGGCCTCAACATCCTCGCCTGCCTTCCTCGCAATCGAGCACGGCGACACTTCAAAGCCCACCACCATGTAGTACGCGGGGTCCACCCCCAGCGCCTTAATGTCTGCAAGTTCCTCATAATAGTAACCATCGTGGTATTCGTAATCCCCAAAATCCTGCGCCTGGCGGCGCGCCGCGCGGGCCCCAGAGCCTTCGGCTCCAGTACCCGCAGCATTGGCATGCAGCATCCGGCGGTGGCGATGTGCGTCCAATCCGTCCACGGAAACGGACTTAACGTACTGTTTGCGCGCAGCAGTGTACTCTCCATGCGTCTGGTAGACCAGGACATTGAAGACTAGGTGGTTGTTGATGTAGTACTTGTCGCCGACCTTGTAGCCAACCTCGAACCCGGGTCGCAGGAACTCGGTCTTCTGCACGGGTTCGGGAGACACCGGTGAAAGTTGCAAGCGAGAGCTATGAGGTCACGAAATCACCCGGAGGCTAACAGGATAGAGGTCGACATGCATGCGGCCAGCATGGTGCACCACAGCATTGAGTTAGTGAGGTGGGACTAGGAAGGCAACAGCGTGGGCATGCTTGTGTCTCGGGTGCGAATAGCTCCGGAACAGGACCTGCAGTGCCGCTGTCCGTTAGAGGAGGAGGTGGCGCCGGCAAGGCCTCCTGTCGATCACGGGCCACCACTGCGGTGCCGCAAAACGGGTCCCTATGAACACCACTCTACACATGCGATAAGGTCGTGGAAACTGTGATACATTCTCCCGGCCCAGCCATGGAGAAAACCATTCTTCGTGTTAGAGTTTTATGTTTACCCAGCGAAACGTAACAAAGCAATAAAATCGCTGAGGCGGATGAACTGGCCCATTCTTTTAATGTCCCAGTAATTGGATGAAGATAATCCAGCTGAAGGATACCCGCGGCTGCCAGGATGCGCGGCAGGACGTGAACAACCTAACAATAGGATGGTTAGGATGCCCTAAACCGTCAACCAAAACCAAAACCGTTTTGCAAGTAAAGCGGTGGACAGCATAGCATAGTTGTGTCGCTTGAATGCATCACAGGGACAAAGCCTGATACACATGTGGACGTTGCGTGGAAAGTGTAAAGTGCTAATGGGGATGCACCTCACCCCCTGCCCGATCTCCGATGCCAATCCAGACGCCGGCAAAACGAACAATAAGTTGCGTTATTTGCTTTTGCTAAGTCCATGCACAGAGAGCACGGTTCAGTTGAAGATACAAAAGGAGCACACCCACCTCATCGAGAAGGTTGTAAACCGTGACTGGAAGGTTATCCAAAATCAGGTTGACACGGTAGTGCTGGTCAATTAACCGCTTCAGCAACTGCATTTCACGATGCACACATAAGAAATGATAAATCAACAGCGATGCACGCGTGCTGCATGTAGAAAAATTGCCCTTCACAGAATCGCGCAAATCGCGTGAAGCAAGGAGCCCAGCTATCAAATAAGCTTCACGTATATTGGAGTGCATGCAATGGTAAACATCCCCCCAGCACCTCATACATATAATCCGCAGTGCGGATACAGGACCCTGAATGATTGACGCACAAACTTTGATGTCAGCTATTAAAACCCTCACGCTGCAACTAATTGAGATCGGCCCCATTTACGCCGTAAGGGCCCTGTCATTGGGCACTCGAATGCATCTGGCCGCTGTCATGCCGGTGGACATCACATGCCACAGAGGTTCTTCCACTGGGCACTTGAGCACATGGCCACCCCTGAGAAAACGCCCCAGACCAAGCCCAAAGCCACAGACCTTGACTTCCTTCGAATCCAATGGCCCGTAGGATCCAGAAGGACAGGCCAAAAGGCCCGACTGCTTAACCTGTTCCACGGCAGACGACCGGTTACACGACACGGGATCATCTTCAGAGAGGTGACAAGGGGAGAGAAACTGAAACCGCAGGCAAATGCCCCCGGAGAAAAGAACGCATTTGGACGGGTATTCAGCTGGTATCCATGGCTTCACCTTCATACTGAAATTGTATGGCGAGTTCTCTATCCGGATGCCCTCCAGGATGGTGCCCGGATTGGCTGTGTTAGCAATCCTTTTTACGCCCTCCGCAGGTTTGCAGAACGGCGCCGAATAATAGTCCAGGGGCAGCTCCGTATCAAACGACGTCAGCGAGCTTGCATAAACTGCGCTCACCATAAGCAATAGAAATAACAGCCCAGGATCACCTGCCGATTCTGACAGGAAAAGGTCTTCGGGCAGCTGTAGCAGTTTACCTGGTAATAAATCTCCAACTTGAAACTCCGCGGGGTACGCTCCGGGTACATAGTAAGCGCTGACGCCACACAACAGGACCGACAGCAACACAGCACCCAGCAGGCGCTGCCCATCTAACCGCTGCATCTTTGCTTTACAATGGTTGACAAAATATAACCCCTAACTATAAACCATCAGTTTATAAAGTTGGCTTGAAAGGTCAAATCTTCATTAAAGTAATTGGGACAACTAGGATTAGTTGTTTGAATTTTAAGGAAATAGTATATGACATTGCAGTAAAATCAGCTTCGGAGGAAATCATGGCAAGTCGGAGCGACATCGGCACCTTGCACGACAACATTGGCTCCAGAGTCGAACAGTTGGCCATCTCCGAAAGTCCCGAATTGCAATAATCTGTCCATATACTTTTTAAACAATTAGATGGACGTATCGAGACTAGCGTTGATCCACTTATCACTGCGCAGCCGCACGTTGTCCTTCTGCAGTATCATTACTACGCGTGCACCGTCCGTTGTTTAATCTGGCATCGGATTATAACTCCAACTGCTTTACCTGGTGTAACTGCTCTCCTGACGACCCAACGACCCATCTGCCATCCATACACTTCGCAGTGATCCACTTGTATTATACACCCCAGGGTTCCTAGTACAAAGGATTATAGACGGGCTCAACAGACACCTACCGTTGGCGTCGCCAAAGCTCCATCTAGTAGCGCGCCCCTTCACTTCTGACACATGGAACCATCCGGGGCAAACACTGGCACTATGCCGGAGGTGCCAGAAAATGCTAACCAACGTAAGCCACAAGACTTGCTCGCTCCAAACCCACGCCACGGATCGCCACGCACCCATGTCCAGTTGCGAAGCAACCGTCGCCAGCCAACTGATCACGTTTGTTATCCCGAGCCCAACCTGTGGGCTTAGAGGTTGACTAGCCCAACTCGCCGCGCACCTCCATGGAATCCTGCCTTAAGCACCTAAAGACTTCCTTTGGCAACCCACATCATTCGCAACCCCTGCTCCTGTCCTGTCCTGGACAGACTGCCCCGGCACATCCAGCGATCAGGCAGGCAAGGCAGCCGCATGTGCCGGCTGCCCCAACCAGAGCGTTTGTGCCACAGCGCCCAAGGGACCCGATCCAGGTGGGTTTCAGGACAGGTTTGCTTCTGCTGCGGTATTCACAGGAACCCGAGACTTGGGCTAGGGACAGCCTTTGGAAGATGGCCGTTGGACCCAAAGGAGACCCCATTGAACCGGTACCACCAGTCTCATATTGGTGCTGGTCGTTAGGCCAGAACCTTCGCAAGGGCCGAGGTGCCACACAAAAAGCAGACCCACGGCTGGCTGGTCGAAGCTCACTGTGTCGCGGCTTCTTCCTTGCATATCTCTGTCCCCATCTTGCCTGAGGCTGCGGTTTTAATATCCCCTGACTCCATCTTCCTGCCATGGCAGATCTGGCGGCCATTGCACAGCGCATGTCGGCAGTGAAAAATAAGCTGCTGGTGTTATCGGGCAAGGGCGGTGTGGGCAAGAGCACGGTATCGGCCCAGCTGGCTTTCGCGCTGGCCAGGAGGGGGTTCGAGGTGAGCGCCTGGGCCATCGCCCGGCTGGCTGGCTACAGGCCAGTGTCCTGGCATTGGCTTTGTCGGAATATGCCGGAATGCCAGGATGTCAAATTTCCCGCCAAAGACACCGGGCGAAACACCGACCAAGACGCGTGAACTAGAGCGACACCGCGACACCAGTGCGCATCTCATATCCGCGGTGCAGCGTCTTTGAGGCCTCGCAAAAGGTGGTAGGAGGCACCCCCTGTCCAGACGGCTTTCATCGTACTGACCGCCAAGTGCTGCCTCAACCGTCAATCACCAGGTGGGCCTCCTGGACATTGATATTTGCGGTCCGTCTGTGCCGAAAATGCTGGGCCTGGAAGGACAGGAGGTGCATTCGTCTAACTTGGGCTGGTCGCCCGTGTACGTGGAAGACAATTTGGCGGTCATGAGCATCGGTGAGTGAGAGGGCGAGAACCACTTGAGGGGCGTGTGGAGGTCTGGAGTTGCCGGTGCGTGGAAGGGCAGCGGGCAGGAATGCCTCTCAGTTGCCATTAACCGTGACTCACGCACGGCCCCAACCGGCATACGCTTGGGACTATTTGCGTTGCGCCCAACCGGTTCGTTAGGCAGATGCGACACGATGGCGATGTCCAGCTTGTGCGATTCTCAGTTATCATGCTTATGAGCCGTTAAGTCCTTGCTTCCCAGCTGTCTGGAAAGACATGCTTTGCGTGGGGGTTAACCGGCAGGCAAGAGCTGTACATTGAACCTCGCTCACGGCAGCAAAGGCGTGCTCCTTCCAAACCTGACTCCTCACCACTCCGCAGCGGCCCCTTCCCACCGTCAGCCCCCTATGGCTGGCGGTTCGTTACCGCATTGCCACCACCTTAAGCAATGCAGTAAAGAGGAAAGGGGATTCCGCACCTGTGTTGTGCTGTGTAAGCTTACCTGGCCATATGAATGTATGTATGCATGTATGTATGTATGTATGCATGCCCCGGTTGGCCGGACAGGTTTCATGTTGCCAAACCCGGACGAGGCAGTCATCTGGCGCGGTCCACGGTGAGGTCCAGGTTCGGGTTGGTTCGGAAGGGAGAATTAACACCGTGATAAGACTCCAGGAGGATTCAGTAGTCCTAATCGTGGAGGGCTTGGCTGTCCCGCCCTTTTTAACAGCCATTCTTTTCGCTGTTAAAAGCGGAATGGGCATCAAAGCCCTCCATGAGGAGGACTACTGGGCCCTTCTGGAGCTAGAGATGGCGCATGGGTGGCGGGCCGCCTGTGAATGCGTTCTTGCTCTAGGGTTCGTAAGTCTGTCCAAGGCAGGGGAGTAAGGGGTGTTCCGCGGCTTAGGGTGAGTGAATGCTGATCTCGGTCCAGTCGAACTACAGGATTGCGAGACGTGACGCTTTGGCCTTCACAAGCAGGACTCTCGCCCCTTTCCCTGCGCCAGCTTGACCCTGTCGTCGTGTCTCACCTGGACGTGCGGCTGCTGGCTTCTCCTTATGCCCACGTACCTTACAACCCAACCTCTCAGCTGCTGCTCTTTCCCTTGCCGTCCACTTCGTGTTTGTGCGCCTCCTTCCCCAGCAAGAACGGGCTCATAAAGCAGTTCCTGAAGGACGTGCATTGGGGCCCGCTGGACTTTTTGGTGGTAGATGCACCGCCTGGCACCTCGGACGAACACATTACCATCACGCAATGCTTACAGGTTAGCTTGTTACGCTCCCGGTCCATCAAGCTCACCTGCTTGCGCCCAGTAATCCCATGTACTGGCCCTATTGCTCCATTCCTCGCATCCCCCCTGCTAATCCCCCTATTCCCTGTTCAGTGGCGTGGGGCAGTGCCTTATGACTGCCGACGGCCCCGACACTGCTGGCTGGACAGCCCACTCCCTGGTATGGCTTCATGCCCCAGGGAGTGCTGCCTATGTGCTGCCGCTCCTGCTGTCCACACTGCGCTTCGCTGTTTGTAGAGTTTAAGGTATATCACATGCGATGACGTTGGTCCGTTCGCTCCTGATGCTCTTGCATGCCAGAGTGCTGCCATGTCAGCAACCCCAGGCGGTGCTGCTGGCAGCACCGCCGCCATCATCGTAACAACACCACAGGACGTGGCGGTCATCGATGTTCGCAAGGAGGTCAGCTTTTGCCGCAAGGTGGGCCTGCCGGTGCTGGGGGTCGTGGAGAACATGGCCGGGCTGATCACGCCTCTAGAGTGCTGCACCTTCACGGCAGCGCCCGTAGTTCCTGTCGATGGCAACAAGGGAGATGCCGTCACCACTGCAAACGCCAATGCCACCGAAGTGGACGTCACGTCTCAGGTTCTTGCGCTCCTGGCGGAGCGCTTTCCAGGGGTTTTGCTGCGAGTTGGCACTGAGGTGTTCCGCGCGGGTGGTGCATCGGACCGCATGTGTGCGGACATGGGGGTGGAGCTGTTGGGTCGGGTGCCTCTGGATCCGGGGCTAGGAGCGGCGGCGGATGCTGGGTTGCCGATAGTGGGGCCGCCGCCAGGTGGCGACGACGGGGCAGCGGACGCAGCAGCGGGGCCTACGGCGGCGTGCCTGCCGGCGTTGATGGCGATTGTGGACAAAGTGGTGGAACGGACTGGGGGAAAGGTGCTGACGATGCAGCCCCAGGATAGGGTTGCATGACGTTGCATAGGTGCGGAATCCAATTAGGTACATGAGCCTTGACAATACCCTACCTTCGGGGTCGCGCTGGATATTGTATATGCATGCATTGCGAAGGGAGAAATTGTGTGCGACGGTGGTGTGCGGCGGCTGTGGACGCTGCAGGTATGGACTACTGCATTTCCGCAACCATCCAGCTTGCCTCAGTCCCCCTGAACGAAGGGACTGGGTGCGCCTGCGTGGCTTGTACGCCTTTACGCGTTGTTAAGAACATGCTTAATGTAAGCGTACATCTGCGCGTGCCAATGCGAAGCGGGCAATTCCAGAACGTGGCTGTAGCTTCAAAGCCTGCATTTTGCTGTGATGACGAAGCCGCAGGCTAGCATGCGGCCTTGAAACACGTTCTCCCCCTTACACACGGCACACAGTATGCGCCATCCCTTTTTGTATTCTATGGCAGATAAGTGACCAACCCCGAGACCCGAATCCTAAGGTCAATGGTGATATCAATTTTAGCCCCCAGGGCTGACCCACGCCCTGTAGTTTGCAGGAGTACGCTTTTCAAGAGGAAACCGAACCCCGGTCTCTCACCCCCGAACCCCAGCGACAGCTTTGTCCAACCTGAACACGTTACAGCAGGCAGGCCTCCGTTTATCCTGTTTGCGATACCATAACGGCTACATGGTCCGACCCAAAGCGTCCTCAAGTTTCCTAGCTGCTGGACAGTCCACACGTCCATAAAGTTCGGCGCATCGCTATTCCTACAAACAGGGATGTACCCATACCAACGCATCCTGACCATCGTGCACAGACACGTCCATCAACAATAGAAATATTCCCTAGCGTTGGGCCATGTGGAATCCAAGTACGGCGCAGGGACGCGGCCTGCCACCTGTTGACAAAATAGTGGCAGTCACCGCTTCCGGGCCTCAAATTGCGAGCCGACCACACTCCAGCTCTAGAAGGCCGCCACCAAATCGCAGGCTGAAAACAACAGCATCTTCCTCTGCTTTGGTGGCCAGTTGCAAATTCGCAGCTCTATAGGTGCGTGGCATGTTCGCCGCCGCGAGCATGCGCAGCCGCAAGTCAGCAGATCGCTCAACGTGGATAGGATTCACAGCTTCACAGCGTCCTTGGGAACAACAACCACAGACTTTGGCTCCATCACGTATGCCTTTCTGAGGAGGTTCTCCACGGTCTCAGACGGCAGAGCGCCCTTAGCGAGCCACTCCTTAATTGCCGGCGCGTTCAGGCTCGTCTCCTTCTTCAAAGGGTCATACCAACCCAGATACTCCAGCGGCTCTCCATCCCTGCGCTTCTTGCTGTCAATTGCCACCAGACGGTAGAAGGGCAGCTTCTTGCGACCGAAGCGCTGGAAACGCAGGGCCACACGGTTCTCTATCACAGTGGCCACACGAGCTGGCCTAGCTGCAGATGCGCGAGTGGCTGTGAACGGCTTCACGCTGCCGGTGAAGGCCTTGGAGGACAGTGCCTGCATTGTCGCTGTCACTCCCTAAAACCGTCAAGATAGATGGATAGAATGCAAAGGTGACACCGAAGGAATAACATGATAGCTTGCCAATAGACTTGTCCGCTCCCAGCCAGGAGAATCCAGATGGGCCCAACGGCTCGAACCGTAATTGTCGTGCCCTGCTTCTTCAGTTTCCATTCTAACGGTACGAACAACAGACCTGAATTTCTGTAGATTTGTGTCCATAGGATAGATTAGCACATGATGCCGAACATAGTCTGATTTAATCATATAGCCTTGTGCTTTGCTGTTTGCTTCAATATGCCATCTACATTGCAAGGAACGTTTTACACCTACCGCCCCATCCGTCGGCTGGGGCAAGGGGCTTTCGGCGAGGTGGGTACATGACTTGCATACCTGCATCCGTGCTTGCCCCCCGAGCACCTCCTTAACATTAACGTTCCGCTTCTTTAGGTATCCCTTGCTTCCGTCCTGGAGACGGGTGACGTCGTTGCTTTGAAACGAATCCACATTCGCAACACCACCGGAATACCGGACGTTGTTGTCCGGGAAATTAAGGCTCTGCAGAGCGTATCGCATCCAAATCTGGTCTCGTTACTAGACGTCTTCCCAAAGGTGCGCCGCGCTTTCACTCCGGTCCTTCGGTTTGTTCAAAGTGTTTATGTGTGTGTGTATGGGCACGCACGCACGCACGTGCTTGTCGCTGGGCACGAACAGCCAAGGGTAAAGGCACCCAGGTTCCAAGAAGTTGCAGAATCATAACGCTGCCAGCTTATCCTCTTTGTTTGGATGTTGTAAAGTCCCCACAAAGTCTGTCCACGCGCAGGGCCAGGCCATCTACCTAGTCCAGGAATATTGCACCACGGACCTTGCGGCCCTGCTGCGGAGGTTACCCGCGCCCCCGCCCGAACGCATTGCCAAAGGCCTCATGCTACAGCTATGCCGAGGCCTGGAGGCACTCCATGCGGAGGGTGAGAGGGTGGGCTGGGGGAAGATGCGCTATAAACGTCCGGGGGTATTGAACTGGACCGAGCATTGACCTTTCCCAGGTTGCGGTGGAGACCACTGAGCACCGCGCCTTTGCTGCCAAGCTGTGGTGGTTTGAACGCAGCGTTTGGTACGTGGTTTTGGTGGCCAGCTTCCAGCCGGCTTTGGTGGCCAGTTTAGTCCTCGTTTCCTCGGTGATCAGCACGTCCATGCCGTGTCCCGTAATTCATTCCCTTGCCCTGGCACCATTCCCTTGCCCTGGCACCATTCCCTTGCCCTGACACCATTCCCTTGCCCTGACGCCTCGCCCTCGTCGCCTACCCGCCCAGGACTCATGCACCGTGACGTGAAGCCCAGCAACACGCTGCTGTCCGCCTCTGCTGGCGCAGCCAAGCTTGCGGATTGTGGCCTAGCACGACCGCTGGATGGGGGCGAACGACCTGCCTACACGCACGCCGTTGCGACTCGCTGGTATCGGGCTCCGGAGCTGCTGTATGGCGCCAGGGCTTACGGACCCGCAGTCGACATCTGGGCGCTGGGGCTGGTTTTTGCCGAGCTGCTGGGTACGCGGGATCTGGAGGGAGGGATAAATGGGATTGGGGTTATTTCAGTTAAAGCAGGGAGCCGGGGCTGGGATGACGCAGTATGTGCGATCTTTAGGAGTTGGCATGTTACCGTCATGCCGCCAGGGCGTCTCGTTCGTCGTGTCTGGTTGTGCTTTGCGATGATGACGGAGGTCCTGTGTGCACTCTCCTATGCTGTCTAGTTGTAAGTCTCTCAGCCTCGTTATCCCCTCTCCCCTAAAACGCTCTCCGATAACAACCAACATCCGCATCTCGAGCAGACCCGGGGTATCCCGGTGCACATCCCATCCCTGGATGCTCACCTACGGCATTGATGGGTAGACCTTCAGCATCCAACGCATCTCCGCATTGGCACGATCACCCACTCCCCCCACCCATGCATTGAACTTTCTCCCCAAAGGTCTGGCGCCTCTGATTCCTGGCGATAACGACATTGACCAGCTGGGCCGAGTTATTGCCACTTTCGGCTCCATGGAGCCCGTATGGCCGGGTGTACGTGAGCTGCCTGACTGGGGCAAGATCGCCTTCCCGCCCGCAGAGCCGGTGCCGCTGACATATTTGCTCCCGGGGGCCAGCGCGCCTGCGTTGGATTTCCTGGCGCGCTTTTTGCGGTGGGTTGCATTGGAGGGCGGTGTCCCTGGAAGTACTACCGGATTTAGGGCCGTGCCGCAGTTGTGGCTAGGTGCGGTTGTGGACGTGCTGCTGCATCTTGCATGCCACAGCAGCCGGCAAGACCTGGAAGGAGGAAGTGACTGGGGCGATGGATGCCTGGGTTCATGAAATCGGAGGGGGAGACGCCGTGTTAAGTAGAGCATTACCACATGAAAGGATGCTGGCGGGAAGAAGCGCACATTCGATGCAAATGTTGACAGCAATAGGCGATCTTGCTAGGGCGTCTCCTCCATCTTTATTGACATCATAACATCCTCATACTTTCCGCGGAAAGGGTGACACGAACCCTGGCATACCGCATGCGAACGAAGATGCTGTGGATCTGGTGTTGTTTGAATTCCGCCGGAACGCCGTGCGCATGCATGTACTGCTCGGCCCGCTCGTTCTTCTTCGGTAGGTACGATCCTGCACAGCGGATTACTGCTGCGGAGGCCGTCCGTAGTGACTACCTCACCCGTCAATCGCCGCTCCCCGGCGACGAGGCGGAAATCTCAGCATGGCTGCTGACAACGCTGGAGGTAGCGGAGGCAGCGAGTGCAGCCCAAAAGGCGGCGGCGGCAGCGGTTACGGCTGCAGTTAAGGGCCCGCTTGCTCACTCGACGTTCTCGCACCAACAGCAACAGCCTATTGAGCGGCAGCAGCAGCAGCTGATGCCCATATTGCGCCAGCGGCAATTCCCACCACCGCTGGCAGTTTGCTGGGATTCGCTGCCAATGGCGTGAGCCGTGTCCTTGAACCTTCACTTCAAGCCGTTAAAGTGTCGAGCTGGCAGAGTAGGTACAGTAAGCAGGCCTAGCACAACACGCATAATAGAACAGACCTGGTAGAGCAGACCTGCCATAACAGAGGGTACATGGACGTGAGTCACGAGCACCCTGAGAGGCGGACGGCATGGACGATGGGGCCCCGAGAATTAGAGCCTGGGGGGCCTTGTACAGCTCGGTCTGCCAGGAATGGCAGCCGTGAGAGGTGCCGGACCGGCTGTGCGCATACATAGCAATGCATGGCTGCAGCAAGCGGCGCGGCAAGGCAGGGCAGTAGTTAGCATGGCTTGGCCTTAGCCGGCGTATTGCCTTGGCAGCCGGCGAACCACTCCTTGAAACAGCTTGGTCTTCTGCAGTTTGTGAATACTTAATCGCCAGCTGCTATTCGCGGTGTGTGCCGTCCGAATACCTGGCACACCGCCTGTTGAGCGCCGTCGGAAGGGCTGGATGTAAGGCTGTTCAAGGCATGCCTCCGTTCTAGGGTTGCACCACTGCAACAGCATTGCGGCGGCATCACAAGTCTTCCCGCCGGAAAGCTGCTGGAAACTCCTCGGACATTTGGTTTAACAGCTTGGCGAGGTTGACAAAACACCGATAGCCAGGACAACCTCAAGAGTATAAATCATGACATGGTGAGCTTGGCGGGTGCTAGCTAATGGTCGTGGCGAGGGCGAAAAGCAGTTGCGCTAATACCTTAATTTGAGATATTTATGTGCTTCAGACCCTTGCTATGGGGTCGTGACGTGTAGCGAGCTCAGACCCTCTCCCTACACCGCCACATGGTAATATAGCGTGCAATTTTCTGTCCATGTCTCATTGTGTCTCCACAAGAAAGGCTATAGTGGCGCCACGCCGTTAGCTTCTTCTCGTGCGCCTCCTTCCCCGCTCTTGTCCTAGGCCGCTTTCCTCTTCGCGATGGATCATTTTTCAATTTGAGGGCCCGACAATACTGATGGGGCCGGGGCCCAGGCGCTGAGTGACGCGGTGGGAAGAGCGCTTTTCCATCGGCGCAATTTAGCTTTGCGCTCGGGTTAGGAAAGCGCTGTCACGTCGGCCCTAGCTCCTCCATGACTGTTTGGAAATCGGTGTCAACTATGCGCGTGTGTTGGCATACGGTTTTGCCGTTTGTATTAATGCCCAGCGGAGTGACCCCGGGAGGGCATTGCGTGTGTTATGCTGTTTGCCACGTTACAAACGACTTCCCCGTTGACCCTCTTTTCCAAGCAGGATCCGCTGTGGTGGTTATGCCTGTAGTTATCACGGTGCGTGGGAGGCCGCCGATGCCTTGCGTGGCTTTGCTTCCTCGCATCCTCATCGCTGGCCCCATCAATCGACCCGACCCGTCTCCATCGGTGTCCAAGGGGTCTTTGTCATCGGTGTTTGGAGCCCTGCGCCGTGGCTGCTGTCCGCCTCGGCTGGCTCTGTAACGCGGGGTTGTGTTGGCACTGTCTGTCAGTGCGCTTGGCATTGTTGCTAATACTGGCTGACTCTAGACGATTGGATGATGAATGGGGTTTACTTGAATGGTGTACAGTCCCGCAGTCGGCATCTGGGTGTCGGGGCCAGCGTATGCAGGGCTGATGGATGCGGGGATTAAGCGAAGACTCAAGTGCTTGTGCGCGGACTGGCGCTACTTGGGGCAACAGCCAATGGTTCCAGGAGGGGGCTACAGGCCCGCAAAAGTCCCTGCCAGCTATGGCCTCGGCGCTCAGGGCCATGCTGGGGTTCGAATGTTTGGGGGACCTCTGGGCGTCAGGTTGAAGGCATGGACATATGCTGCTTTAAGAATGGGCCCACGGAGGCTGGTTGCACAGAAAAAAGGTATGGAAAGCGCGCCAAGACCTCAAATGTGGGAGTGCATTGACCAGACGTTGGCCAGGGATACAGGCAGCCGTGGCCAGCACAGCAACATTGTCCTCCGTCGGCTGGAACAATGGTGATTCGGCGAGAGCACTGACTGAAAACATGGCTGAACGAACGGCAGTGCCAAGCTACTGCGTAAGCCTGGGGAAAGGCTGGACCACTAGGGCATGGGAGGACTGCTGGCCGCGTCCGTCCAGCACCCTGTGGTGGGGTCGTCCGCAGCTGTTGGAGAGTGGTAACCATCAGACCAAACTTGGCCTGCGGCGTCTTGCGAATAGGAGATGACGGCAACCTCGGCACTGTACGCATCCCTTGCGGTCGTGGTCCTGCGTGGCACCAATTGCTCCACCATGCAAAATGGTATCCAAGTAAAGGGGAGGAACATGATATCCGTCGTACGGGTAGGAAGTCTGTGTCGCGCCACACGTTCGGGTGTAGACGTCACTACCGCCATGAGGGCACGTTCCGATGGCTTGCTACTGAATTAAGAAGTCATTCTTGGACAAGCCTTTGCGGAGTGCTTATTAGCAGGGCTGCAGTAGGATGCGAAATGGGGGTCGGTCACGGGAATGCGGACAGCGGGGGTGGTTTCCTCTGGAAGATGCGGATAGTCGATAACCAAGAGATACCCGGCAATGTGAAAAATTGACCCTTATTGCAACCCTTCGGCTCATTTCAGTCGACTGCGTCGGGAAGGACCCTGGAGCGGGGGGAGGTTTTGAGGAACTATACCGGGCTGCCCCCGGAAAGAGACTGTTTTGAAATGCCCCGGACTTCTCAACAAGGCCATGCCGGACCCTGGTCGACTCGAAGCTAACTTAAAGCTTGAGAATGGGCGCTGGGTCATTCATCCGGATCACGTGTACCGTCATACTGTGTACCAGAGGGCAATTGTGCAGATGAACGGCTAACAAGTTCGTTTGGTTCATAGGGACGAGTAGCGGCATATTGTGCATTCCAAAGCCGCGCGCTACGAACGGTTTACAAGTAACACTTCAACACGCTTAGGATATGATCGGAAAACATCGTTGCGCATGAGGTCTATGTCGCGAGACGGTTGCACCCACACTTAATGCGTCAAGGTGCAGACTCCCTCCCACTCAAATCCGCTTTCTGTACCTAACAGCTGCAACTCCCTGTTAATCGCTACATGGGGCCAGTTCCTGCGCCAAGGTGTGAACCTTGCTGCCTCAGCCAGTCTCAGCTCTGTACCTCCAAACCCATCCTTAACACGCTGCATTCAGTGAACACCTCACAAACAAAGAACCATGCCGCCCCTGATAGTTCTGCTTGTCTACTGATACAGGGGAGGATTTACAGAATACAGGACGCCCCACACAAGCCACGCGTATTATGACACGACAGAGATGTATCCAGCAGGAGCCTAGGCCGATGTGGAGGGGCATGGTTTTTATGGGGTCCGAGACAGCCACGTAACGGGGTTCTCACAGCTGAGGCAGCCACGTAACGGGGGTTCCCATTACCGGCACAGCACGGGAAAGCCCGCCCAGCAGTTAGCGGAGAAACAAATGAATTATACTGGTACTGGGTACATGGATGGATGGAGTCTGCAGCAGGTTGAACTAAGGCTGGGTGTCAATGTTCCAACGGCTGCACACGATTATTACACTTTGATATGCAGGCTTCATTTCCGCCTAGAAATTGCCTATTGAAAACATCCTTTCTAAGCTAAATCCTGCGGCTATGGTGTTGTGTTAATACTCCAGACTCGAAACTAATGAAACAAATAAACCATTGGCCAAGACGAGCAAGTCGAGGTTCCTGGTTACATATCGCCGCGGATTTTGTGCCGTCAGCACTTCCCATGTGACTCTTCAAGTGCCTAATACTACGCCTTTCCGTACTGCCAGCCTGGTTCCAAACCCAAACGCAGGTCTCTGCTCCCATGTAAAATAGGCGCCTCAATTGCTGTTCCAGATTAAAGAATTGAGCACTGTAACCTATACATGTCTGCGAGCAGTCATCTCATTGTTAACAGGCTGCCCGGCTGGCAGTGCAAGCATAGGGTTAGCGCATGGGTGTGCACTTGGTGATTGGGATCCCAAGAATAAATTTGCAGATGTAATACTAAGAAATGCATGTAAAGCGTGATTTATCGTAAGGGGCTCTTGCTGAATGTTTGCCAAAGACATGGTCACCCAGAAACAATTGCGCTGGCGCCCAGACTGTTTGAAGAAAAACCTTTTTATTTCATCTCATATCACAGCAACTTTATGGTACACAGCTCATTTTCTTCTAGAACGTCTCACGCCAGCTCGGCCATTTGCATGAGGCGGAGCCGACGCCGTACACGAAGAAGTTATGATTTGTTTATACATCCATATGCTCAATTTTAGATTATCTATTGCAAAATATTACAGCAGTTTGCGTATTCAAAGCAAGTCACACTAAGCACCCCCTTGACCTGCGGTCCGAGAAAAACTCCTTGCATTTTGGCTTCTGTTCCGTTGCTAGTGACAGCTTATGCGGCAGGCTCAATTCGAGGATACACTGGCTCGCACGGGTCTCCACCAGTTATAGAGGGGCTTTGTCCGATCCGGGTTCGATGTCGTCGTCGTCTTCCCAAGTGCAGCAGTCTCTTGCGGGCACGCTGGCGGCGCCCATTACAGCTCTGCCTCATGATGGCTCCGTGGTTAAGATGAAGGGCTTGCCCTTCAAGGGCGGCAAGGAGGACATCATTAAGTTCTTTGCGGGCTTCACGGTCCGGCCAGACCAGGTTTTCCTGCGTAAGCATCCGGATGGCCGTCCTAATGGCGAGGTGCGATATAGTTTCGCCTGTTTGCTGTTGCGAAGGCCTGCGGCGCGCGGAAAGTAGTTGGGGGAGCGATTGTGCGCAGGCCTAAGGTATCTGTTGTCCTCCTTCAGGCGTTTGTGGTCTTTGAGGACAGCGACGAGGCCAGGAGGGCTACACAGAAGGACCGTGAAACATTTGGAGAAAAGTTTGGAGACCGCTATGTGCGGGTGTACCCCACGCTCGACTCGGACATCCCAGACATGCAAGCCGCCGTCGCCCAGGCACAGCTTCATGAGCAAGCACAGGTATGCGAGAACGTATGCGAATGAGAAATTTTCGTCCTTCGCCTGAGTTTGAATGGCTTTCTAGGATGCTCAGGCAGGAATCTGACTGGAGAGTCTCCTTTGTGCGCAAACATTGCAGGGCTCAGGCAACCATGGTCATGGAGCTCATTCAGATAGCGTGGTAAAGATCAAGAGCCTGCCTTTTGACGCAACCCAGCTGGACATTATTCAGTTCTTTGAGAACTTCAAACTCAAGCCTAATGGCGTCCAGCTAGTGGTTCGCTCGGATAACAAGCCAACGGGCGAGGTAAGTCTTCAGCTTGCGTTCAGTCGTCTGCAACGGCTGGTATTGAATTTCGTTTACGAATTGCACAGGCATTCGTGGACTTCGAGACACCCGAGGAAGCGGCTCGCTCCATTAAGGAGAAAGATCACAAAGTCTTTTCGGAGAAGTTTGGCGACCGTTATGTCCGGTTAATACAGGTGCGCAATACTCGCGCGCACGTAGCATACTCAGTACCGTCAAGGCCGCGTAAGGGTACTGGCCCCTCCAGCACATTACTAAAGGGTACAGGGCATGGAACCATGCAATAGGCGGCTGGGTCGCCGATGTTTGCCGATGATCTTTGGGTTTGCCCCTCCCGCTGCATGCCCGCTGTACATTGCGAATAGGTGTCCCGTAAGGAGATGCAAGCCACACTCGCCCTTCGGTTCGGTGGCGAGGGTGTGCTTAAGATGAAGGGGATTCCTTTCAAGGCCACCGCTGTGGACGTTAGGAAATTCTTCACCGGCTACAAGGTCAAGACGGAGGGCGTAAGCTTTATCATGCACGCGGATGGCCGGCCGACGGGAATGGCATTTATCGAATTTGAGACTCCGCAGGAAGCTGTCCGCGCCATGGAGAAGGACCGCGCCAAGTTTGGCCCAGAATACGGTGACCGATTCTGCATGCTGCAGCTCGTCGGCCGACATGAGATGGAAAAGGTCACCTTGCAGCGGGAAAATGAGAACACAGCCAACAAGCTGTTGGTGAGTTAACTCATGGGATTGTTTAGCTGAGCTAGGGTTGTGTAAGGCTAACCATTGCCATGTATCTGCATGGGTAATTAGTCCCCGCACACGAAAAAGCATAAGTGTCACACCCTCTTGTTGTCTCGCACTGCAGAACGGCATCAACGTGTTGCAGGCAGCTGCTCTGGCAACCCATGCCGCTCTCAACAACCCAGCGCTGCAGCCTATTCTCATGGCGGGGCCGAATCCGTGGCTCAATCCGATCTACCAGGGTATGGGTCTCGTCAACCCGGCCACGGCTAATCCAGCTGCGGCCGCAGCAGCACTAGCGGCGAATGCACAGCTTGCGCAGGTCCCCGGCGCATCGCCAACCGCGCCGATGCTGGACGCATCCGCGCTGTCGGCGGCGACGCAGTACGGTGGACCCCTACCCCAAGGTAGGCGCTTATACCCGTGGGACGTGGGAACGGGATTGCATAGGGCGATCTCTCCGCTTTCAAAGCATGCTGCGAATGAAGAGAGAAGAAGAACTATAAAAACTCGCTTTTAGCCGCAAGGTCAGGTGCTGGATTCGCAATGAATCCTTATCATACCCATCCATGTAAACAGGATATGCCTTGACTTGTATATCTGCTGTCATCCCTTACGTTGCTCCTTGCTAAACGGGACAGGCACTGTATTAAGACAAATGCTACATGCGCGGATCCGGGATTGCACTACAGGGCCTCAACTGGTCAACGGCGGCATGAATGCGGCCGCCCTGAGCCTTTTGCAACAGCAACAGGCGCCGGCGTCCGCAGGGGGAGTGAGCGTGGACCCGACGACGTCGACGGTGGGCTGGCCACTGGATCCGGCCGCCGCCGCTGCGGCTAGCAACCTGCAGCTTTTCTATCAGAACGCCGCATCGACAGCGCCGCAGGACTGGGCCCGTGCAGCGGCCGCGACCGCTGCAGATCCGCGGTGAGTTTTCGTCTGCCTTTGTTTGCAACTGGGCAAACGAAGGATGGATCAGTATGGATTGTGAAGAGCCGGCCGTCTGTAAGTACAAAGACCGGTCCGGAACGTGCATTGCTTCCTGCATCAACTCGCGTTTTTTGGCATGCACCCTGCCCTCAATCCCACACCAGGCAAGCCGCGTTACGTCCCGCGCTGCGGGCACCAACATCCTGGGCGTGATGCATCAGCACGCAAGTACGTTTGCGTCGCGGAGCATGCGTTGCGATCGCGACGATCCGTTTTAGCCACCCTAAGACCATCAGACAAAACGCAGAATAATCCCAGTCGAAGTTCCTTAATTTGCGTGCGCTAACCCTGGGCTCTGGGCTTAGCTAGTGCACATGCTAGGGCTGTACGTCTTACCAGGCGACCATCGCCGCTCGCGCTGCTTGCGTTCATCATTGCTTCAGGGTGATGACCACGACGCTGCCTCCGCTCCCGTTGCTTGCTGCTGCCTCCGCTTCCACCTCATCGGTCCAGGCTGGTACCGGGGATGACGGCGACTTTGGACAATATGCCCGCCAACAGCGTCACGCCTCATTCCCTGGCGCCCCCTACACCATTGGATTTAATAGCTATGAAGGAAACAATACCGGTGGTTGCGGCGCTTGGTAAGTCGCTCGGAGTGGCAGCGGCACCACCACTGCATCCGCCGGTGTACGGTGCACCGCTAGCCTGCATACGCCCTGAAGGGGTGCCCGTACCGCCAGCTGCTGCATTGGCTGCTACGGCGGCTGCGGGGATGCCGGCTTCCATTGCGATGCCGGTGGCAGTGGACGACCCGGCGGCGGTGGCCCGGGCGGCGGCGGGGAACTCTGTTATGTGAGACCGCTGCCAGCCTCTGCCGCTACGTTTATAAAGGAGTCCAATGCTATGCTGAAGAGAGAATCAGTCTCGACGGCAGCGTAGGACGCCGTTAACACATGCAGTGAGCTGACCGCTTTGCTTTTAGCGCCATGGCCTGCCATGGGTCGTAAGCCATGGTTGGACAGCCATTTTGCCTCGGTATGTTAATCGTTATGCATGAGAATGGGATATGAAGCTAGTCTTAAGGAGCTGCAAGGACGTTGTGGAATGAATCCCTATCCATCTCCGTCTATCTAATCCATGAACTTGTTGGACAACCGCTTCAACTACTGTTGCTGATGACGTCGTCAACATCGCAAGAGGAACTACTTCAATGAGAGGCGTGTGTTTTTCAGCTGTGTGGAACATACGCGTGTTTTGATGTGCGGGCGACGCATGCCTCTCGTGAGCCGAGCGAGTGAGGGTTGCTGTTTGGTTGCTAGCTTTGAGAGGAGAGCTGTTGGCTTGTGGCATGCGCTTGGCCCTGTCGATGCAGTTTGATGTCGGTTGGTAACTTGGATGGGAGTGGCCAGCGAAAGCTGATTTGGTTTCAGTCCTAAGTTTGTTTACTTTTTGACATCCTTTCAGTCCCACCCTTCAGCCGATCCGCTGCTCTGGCTTTCGTGACTGATTTTTTGTTGGGTCTGCTGCAGACGGCTGAAGGTGGGTGTGTCCGTGATGTGCTGGTTTGAGCACGTATTTGTGGTGCACCCCTTTTGCTGATTGGTGCTGTGGACGCTCCCATGGCGTCTTTCGTGAGCGGCGCTCATTGTAGCGAGTGTGCTTTTCTTGTGTGTCGGCAGTGTCTCTCATGAGAAATGTAGTCTTTTGTATGTGTGTGCGGGGTTGAGCTTGCTCCTGATCTGGAGCGCACTAGGGTTTCGCCATTGGCTGTACAGTTTCTGACTTTCCTGTGGTCGTTCAAATGGTTGAATCAGGCTAAAGCCTTGGCGCCGCGCACGGGGCTGTGATGGCTCGTTAGGGTGCCCACCCGTCGCATGTCCAAGGACCGTCTACACGTTTTTTGAGTGTTGGCTTCCCGCTATAGGTTGTCCCGCTCTTATCATCGAAATGCCATGACGGTATGGACGGGGGATGTCGCTTCCCTGGCGCAGCATGTATGGGACTGGAGATCTTCGCGGCGGCGGCCTGGCGATTTCGCGGGCGTGCGACTGAGGCGGTCCACGGATATCGTGGCTCAGGTTGACCCAGCCGTGCTGCCGCTTTGCAGGGCGCGCCCAAATGTCAGCCGCCCCCTCGCCCGCCGTGTCGTGTCTTGGGTTGCGTTCATGAGTGCTGTGCGCAGCACCTGTCTGGGCTGCCAGGCTCCCTTCCCGCCTTTTCTCTCGTGCCTATCTGTGTGCCTGTGAGTCGGTTTCGTCAGGTTTTGCCCGTTGCTGGACGGACCATCGAAGGCACAATAGTATTGTGTGTTTTTCCCTAATTCTGCGGAGCGACTCTTGCGCCCCGCGTCTGTTTGCTGGCGGGTTGCTGAACCAGAAATTCTTTAGAGTGCGGCCTTGACCTTTTCCCCGACGATCTTTTTATGCTGTTGCCTCCGGGCGGCGCGCTTATGTAAGCCAGTCGGTGTTGTGTCGTCTGGGATGGAAGCATGCAGCTGTTGGGCGCGGTTTCGGTCCGTATCGTGTTTTTGTGGTCGTGTCAGTCAGTAGGGACCGACCGCTGCGTTTTGTGCTCGCAGTGGTGCTGCGCTGCTCGCCCAGATCCGTCTTGAATAGAAGGCATATGCTTTTATTCACGAAAGCATTACTTTGTTGAGGAGAATGTTTTTTTGAAATCGGGAATGTGTGGTGTCTTTGTATGGTGAACAACATGCTGCTGTTGCAGGGCTAAGATGGGTCCTGCTCAAAGTCAGGACAATTTGTTGACAGAACCCGACCGGCCGCCCATATGCGGGTAGTATGTCTGTGGTTACGATGTCGAAAGCACGGATTGCCGACCGGTTACTGCCCGTTTTTCCAGTTGGGGCGACGGCCACGCCGTATATGGCGTGGCGACCCGTTTGAAGGCGGCTAAGGTTGGCCGCTGTTGCTGCTGGCGTGTATCGTTGGTGGCCAAGTTACTGTATTGCTTGAAGGGCGCGGAGTTTGACCCAATTGACTCTGTCGTAAACTTGCCTGCCGAGGGTTGTGTGGGTTTTACAGTTCAGGCGGGCCACCCAGTGCGGTGGGGTTGTGGCCGATTGCTACGACCCGCTGCTCACCTACTAAACCTGCTCTGTTTGTAATTGCGTAGGCTTTTCCAGATGGGGGCTTGGGCGACGCAAACGCTGTCCATTAAACGTGGTAGTCGGCACTTATGTCAGCCCACCACCTGATAGTAATCCCGTCAGCTGATGGTAATCCCGTCCCCCGTCCCCACCCAATTTCATTGGTTGGCGCGCCTCTTAACTTTGTAGGATCACACGCAGCCCTACATCCAAAGGTACGGGCTCTACCCTGGACCTCATTGAAAACCCTTTGCGGGTGAGGCTTTCAAACTGACGAGCATATCGGGAAACCTGTCGCTTGCGTGCAGAAACCTGACGACATAGTTAGGCCCAATGTCGCGCCTGCGCAATCAGTTACTTAAGTTAGCTGTGCGAGCTGCCGCCCTATCGGCATCGGAACAGCGATCTACCGGTGTTTATATCGCTTCGCACCGGCAAGCCTTCCTATGTAAGCGTCTATGTTCATACATTCATTATCGAGCAAGTAATTCTCAAATTCGAAGCTTCTCGTCTTCTGAACACGAGACAACTAGCTTGCGAGATGCAACGTGGAGGGGCAGTCCACAGCCGCCGCTGCAATCATTTTATAAAGAATATAACGGACTGTCCTGGAACGATGAGTACAGGTGAGTTCCTGTCCGCAAACTCCATAGCACGACTCCCAAGTCTACGCACTTTACAGTCGCGGCTTTCGGCTCCTAACCTTTGTTGTCTTACTAGAATATATCTATCAACATCGCGCTTATGGCCGCACATTGTATGCTGACAGCTGGATGGATCCTTCGCCCTCCGGAGCCCACACAACCACCGCCAGCACAACCACCGCCTCCGCAACCTTCCGCGCTGCCCGCCGGGCCGAACTATTTCGTCGCGACCTTGAAAAAGAGGACCAGCACACCAATCGAGCTTTGGCAGCTGCTGGTGCGGAAACGGTCAAACACAGGTTGCTTGAGGAGTTCCGCGACCAATACTTGGGCGAGTCGAAGGTGCGTGCGCATCATAGAGAGCAGGAAGCCATTGGCACTGCCACATCTGGTTGGGTGCATTTACGATTCACCAAGCACCACCTCCCTCTTCCCTGTCCGTTTACTTGCCCCACTCCTTCAAGCCATGTATAATCCTGCGTGTCGTAACAGCCGAGGTTTTCAACCCTCACAACATCCCACAGGATCCCCCACCGGAGCGTCTGGGCCCGTATTACTACTCCGTCGTGAGCGGTCCCGACGGCGGCTTACAGGCGTACATCCGTACCTCCGCAAGTGACAGCACATCGGCAGTAGCAACAACAGCAACAGCAGCTGCAATCACAACAGCGGTAACAAGCGGCAAACCACGCAGCAGCAGCAGCAGCAGCGGCGGCGGCGGCGGCAGCAACGGCAGCTGCGGCTTAAGTCGCCAACAGCAGCGGCCGAGACAGCCGTCCGAGGTGCTCCTCAGTCGGGAGATCGTGGCGCGGGAGGGCCAGGTGGCCGCGCAGATGGCTGGCCTCCGTCTAGGTGAGTGCGGCTAGCTAGGTGGCGAGGAGGGAGACTTGACATGGGCGGTCATGGGCCGTCATGGCGTCATGGGCGGACGCGGCCGTAAACTCTTTCCCTTTGTGCCTTGCCGTCTCCTCCCTCCCTTGCCTCACCTGACACTGCCGCCGGTTGGCGCAGCGGTGTGTCCTTAGTCGTGCCATTCCAATGCCTTAGAATTTTTCATAGCTCTGGGTCTGTGGCTTTTTTTCCGCTGGTCCTTTTCCTCGCTGATCCTTTTCCTCGCTGGTCCTTTTCCTCGCCCGGGCCTCCGCTCTCCCCCTCCGTGCTTCCCTTCCCTCCTCAGGCAATGTTGTGGGTGGCCTCAAGCTGTGTCCCCGCCACCGGCTACTTGCGTACTCGCTGCCCGTACTAGACCGACATGACGTCTTTTGTGTGCTGGTACGGGACACCAGAACTGGTAGGTGCGGCCTGACTGGCAGGGTAATGCGTGATTGGGGTTGAAGGCTGGTTGAAGGATGGGAGGGGCCACCGTGCAATCCCACCGTGCAGGCGGCGGGACCATGGCATGGAAGTTGGAAAGGTGGCGCTGGTCCTACGCGGGGTCTGACGCGGGGTATGCCCTAATACATTGCTTACTCAGGCTACTCTAAGAGGTGTTTCCTTTCCTAGCTGGTCCTGCCAGCTGCCATACGGCCTGCGAGATAGTGTCATGTATAATGTTGTTACAGGGTGGTATAGCTTCACCAGCGGCCCCCTTTCCCGAGGCAGTTCCCTGCTCTCCCCTGCGAGAGGGGCACCCTAATCTATTCACCCCTTCCAACTTCAGAATGTATTCGTCGGGTTCAGCAACTCACCATCTGCATCCAACAAAATCTAGCGGATCAACGGCGCCACAACTTGGTTCCTGGTCCGCTCGCAAATTGATATAATCACGTCCTACACTGTCCACAAGATGGGGGACCACCTCCCAATTCAACACCCCTCACACACCGAGGGGTCGGCAGGCGGATTTAAACCCGGAACCTCCGGGAGCAGAAGTCAGGCCTTAACCTCTGCCAGCCACCTGCCTATCACGTATGTCTGTCAGTCTGCAATCACTTGTCGTCATCCTTACTCAGTAGTTTGTCGCCTTTGTGCCGCTGCTGCCGCTGCCGCTGCTGCTGCTGCTGCTGCGGCGGCGGCGGCTACTGCTGCTGCTGCGGCTACTGCGGCTGCTGCAGGCCAGTTGGTGCTCCCCGGCGGAGTTGTGGGTGGTGTCGCGGGCCCCACGGCGATGGAGTTAGCAGCGGACGACCGGTCGTTGCTGGTACTGCAGGGGGACGAGCTGGGACGGCCGAGCAAGGTACGGGGCCGCGTCATCTGCAGCTTGAGATGTCCAGACGTTGTCAAGCCAACAGAAAGCCGAAGAGGATGAGTGTTGGCGGCGTTGGTACCGCCGTCGGTTGCATCGCCGCCGGCTCCGCTACCAACGCCGCCAGCACCGGCAGCCGCATGCGCCTCCACTGCTTCCAACAGCTGCTGGTCCACGGAAGACAACGACCCGTGGGTCATACCTTTCCATGAAACTCCAACCCCACCTGATCTCGGGAGCCACGTTGAACCTCCAATCCTTCAACCAATCCTTGTATCTGCAGGCTGTGCTGTACGACCTGTACTGCGCCGCGCCGCCACGTGTACTGCTGACGGAAGCCGACCCGCGATTCTTTCTGGCACTAGGCCGTACCAAGGACTGGGCGCTGC